CGATCAGCTTGAGCGGGCGCTCGCCGCTCTGCCCGCGGAGGGCGAGGGCCTCGCCGACGTTGCGCTGGTGCCGCAGCTGGCGTGCGCGCTCCACCCGTGGGTGAGTCCGAGGCTGCGCGAGTCGGCGGCGCTGCGCCTCGCGAGGCTGCTCATGCTCGCGTGGAAGCGCGGCACGCACGACGAGACGTTGCTCTACCTGCTCGAGTCCTCCCTCGCAGCGCGCAGGCTCGCCCGCGCCGCAGCCCCGCGGCGCACACTTCTCGGCCAGCTCTCTGCGACCTCTCGGCGACGTGTCGGCGATAGGCTCGCCTATGCGCTGCACGGCTTCGGCTCCGAGTCCGCCGCGGCTCTCCGCACCGCTGCGCCGCCCAACGGCTGGTCAAACGACGGCTTTAGCGAGGCGGCGGCGCAGGCGTGCCTCTTTTGCCTCGCGGTGCTCCCGCTGCTCGGTGGCGGCGCGACCGTCTTCGGGCGCGTCGTCCTCGACCGGATCTTGCCTGTCGTCCAGCCGCCCACTTCGCTGACCCACCCAGTCCGCGTGCGGCTCGCGCTCGCCTCGCTGCAGAACGCCTCGTCCGACCCGCGCGCCGCCTCCTGCTTCCGCGAGAGGGGCAAGGACAAGGGGATGCGCCAGAAGCTCGTCGACACGCTGTGGGCGGCGGCGGCGCTGCCGCACGCCGCCGCGTCGGATCTCGCCCTCGGCACCATCGCCAACCTCGCGGCGGTCGCCACGGCGCGCTCCTCGGCCGACGAAGAGCTGACCGAGGCCAGCTTCGCGCTGCCGCTGGTGATGCCCGAGCCGGCGGCGGTGGGAACTTTCCACCGCGAGCCTCCCCCGGCGCTGCCGCTGCCACCCGCGGCGGCGAGCCCGAGCGCCGAGGGCTACCGCGCGCTGCCGCGGCTGTGCGTCTCGCTCACCTCGCACGCGCCGCACGCGGCGCTGCGCCGCGCCCTCGGCTCGCTCGTCGTCCTGCTCAGCTCGCGCTCGCTCGACGCGGCCACCGCCCTCTCCCTCCTCTCCGCGTACGGCTGCGTGGACCGGCTCGTCGCGCTCGCGACGGCGCCTTCGGAGGCCAAGGAGGACGGCTCGGCAAAGGCGCTCATCCGGGACGCCGCCCTCGTCCTCCTCGGCGCCCTCCGTGCCTGCCCCTCGGGCGGCCCTCCCGCGGCATCGCCACCCACCACTCCTCCTCCCGCTGTAGGGCTCGTGTATGGGCTCGGAGGCGCGCGGCTCGTCGCGCCGCACCTGTCCGCGATCACGCCGCCGGCGATCGCGGCGCTGGTGTCGACCGAGCCGCGCGCCCGCATGGCGGCCGCCTTCTTCTGGCACGACGCCACCGCCGCCAAGGGGCCCGCGACCAGCCTCGCGCGAGCGACGGTGCCGGCAGGCAAGCTGGCCGGCGCGGGCATCCCCATCGGCAAGACGGCGACGGGCGGCGCGCCGGCCTTTTGCTCGGGGCTGGGCGTGATGCGCCGGCTCGCCACATCCGCCCCCGACGCATCGCCGGCGGATGGGCGCCTCGCTCTCCTGGCGGCGGGCGCCGTCTCGCACGTGCTGCAGCACTCGTCGCTCTCGCACTTGTGGACGAGCGCCCCCGACTCGCTCTCCTACCTCGAGCGGCTCTCGGAGGAGGAGGCCGCCGAGCTCGTGGCGCTCCCAATCTCGCTCGCCAAGGAGGGGGTGATGGTGATGGTCGAGGGGGCGGCGGTGGAAGGGGTGAGCGTGCCCTGAGCGCTGAGGGATCACCACCGACACTTTCGCGAGTTCTCGGCAGGTGAGCTACGCCAACACACCCTGGGCGCGCCACCCTCCAAGGCTACAAAGGCAGGCATGTGAAATTCATGTGTGTGATCTCTCTTGTGTGTGTGTGTTTTGTCTTCTCTCTTGTGTATAACCAAACTCGTTGAGACGAGAACCCTACCCAGAGATACATACGTCAAAGGGACTGCCCCCCGCCCCCACTTGCCCTGACTGCACAGGATTGCGTGCCCCACGATGAGAAACCAGGGAGGGGCGAGGTTGCGTTAGTTTGTCACTCGCCATGCGCGTCCTTGGCTGACCCTCCAAAACTCCCTCCCCGCCGTTCGCGGCTCGGCTTGCGTATGCGGCTGGGAGCTTCGAGGACATGCAGGCGTCCCGCCCCCTCCGGCCATCCCCCCGGCTCCCATGCGCGCGGCCGCGACGCGCTGCGCACCCTCTTCCGCGCTGCACCCGCTCTCGGCATGGCCGTCGTCCGCCGAGATCACCTCCTCTTCGCGCCGCAGGTGCACGACCAAGGGCTGGCCACCTCCGTATCCATCATGATGAAGCCAATGGGCCAAAATCGGACTCCGCTCCCCTCCCAGGTGGCCGGAGGGTACACCTCGGGTCGGCGTGCTGGGGGGGGCGCCGGTGCGCAAGCCCACTTTCCGGGCGAGCCCGAGGGGGAGGAGGCCGGGCGAGTGGCAGCAACTCACTGTTAGTGTCCCGGGCTGCTGCGGCACCGTTTATACGGCCCCTCGTGATGTCTTTCCGATTTTGCATTGTGAGTCGTCCTCTGGCCAGCCGAGGGGCGCCAGAACGGCATGTGTACTGCTGCTGGCTGCGGGTGCGGAACGGGCTTTTTTTAACTCGCAACCAAGCATACTATACAAGGACACCCTCGGGGGGGACACTCGGCGCATGTGCGACGCGTCAGGGTGGAGTTGGCGGTGGCCGAGCGTCGTCTCCAGATCGACT